TTGTATCTAACACGTCATTGAAAAGAGGTACCTATATTTTTACTAAAAATCTAATCTTTAAATTCAATAAGTACTTATTATTATATTTAATACTTTATAATTTCGATTAAGGGGGTAAGTTTAATATTTTATTTTAATTTAAACATAATTAAGACGTATATTATATATATATATATCTATTCATATAATATTATATTAATTTTGTTTTGGAACTAAAAATTTATGAAAATTAAAATTTGACCGGTTTGTTGTATATTTTAAAAACTATCATTTTGTTTATGAGTTGACTCAAATTTCCTGTATTTTATTTTGGAATACAACGCCATTTTTCACAAGATACCATCCATTATCAGTTTTTCAACGTCGATGACAGTGATGGACTTTGTGTTATTATTTAGACTGCTTGTACTCAAAGTAGGCGGATAATCCCGTACTCAGTCATTTACACTACTCTCTCGTTTCTTAAATGATTGTTCTTTAAACGTTAGTAGACTTCCGGAGTTTTTTTTAATTTTTTTTGTGCCAAGGTAAAATAACGAATTAAAGTTACCAAATTAACCCTCACTAACTCCCTCTATTTATTTTTTCACTACAAAAGAATATCATTACATCAAATTTATTTATATCATTATTAAGATTTTTAAAAAYAATCGTAATGAGGAAGTTATAAAATTATTTATAATTTTAATGATAACAATTCCCCAAATAAAAATCCCCCGACAAACGACCCCATATAAATTTAAACTCGATTTCAAGTTATTATTATTTTTATACCGATAAACTATATCTAAATGTATATGTTGTATTAATGCTTATGCTTCAATATTTATGCAAACTACCCTTATAGTTATTAGTTATTTATAACAAATACTTAAATGTATATTAATAAATTAGTATAAACTGTTTTGGTTAATGTTTTCAATACTAAAAAGTTAAAACGCCATACATAGTAAATCTGTAGATATACAAAGAATATAATATGACAATTAAAAATTATAATATTTTTGAAAATGTAAATTTCAATAATTGTTAGGTAAATATTTTACTGCTTGCGATCGAAATTTAAAAAGACATTTATACTCGTTAGCCAATTTTACCACCCTAATTACGTATCTCTTATATTTAGTTATAATGTATGCTTTATAGAGAGGGGAGACTGAACCCATATAACTAATACTTAAAGATAAATCCTGAACATTTGATATTAATATTTATAAATTATAAATTATAACCAACAGGTTCAGTAACATTTCCGTTTTCTAAGGATGGTGATAGATCTATTCAGCAAAACGCATTTATAGCAGTGTCTTATATATATTCTTATAAAACGTGGCACATAAATTTAAAATCTTCAATATTTTAATATCGGCAAAAATGGCGTACCTTGGAGAGAAAAGTGGTCATATTGAAGCGGCCCTATCCTAAAGTTTCAAAATATGTAGAGCCATGGCCTAACCTTAACATAGGGTTCAGCGCCACTGCATACTGTACACGATGGGATTAGCATTCTTATAAAATCAACAACATAGTATTTCAAGCTCTCCGAATTTCGGTTAGAACTTTTTGTATTTATAAACTTAAACAACATTGGAATAATTGTTTATAATAGTATTCTACCCTGAGAAACAATATTAAAATGACATTTTTCTCTAATTTAAACATTTAGCAACAATTGTATAATCGGTGGTAATATCAACACCAAATATCAAAATTGGGATTGTCGATGAAYATAACCTATGAATCTTTGTCCTTCACAACTTTGCGCAACACAGTTAATGCTCTCTAAAAATAATAGGGTTGTAAAAAAAATACAACAATTTKGCTTACCCGCTTTAGAAGAATTTTAACTAAACTAAAGCCATTTCTTTAGAAAATCACTTATTCGACCATTTTTACAAATTGTGGAAGTTTTTGAAAAGTCATCAAAGTATAAGTACTTAAATTTAAAACTATAGCCAAATACAAAGAATAAGAATAATGATAGTATTGCTTTATCTGACCACGGGATAGTCGAATCATTTAAATATTATCTTTATGACATTTTYTAACCTCACCCCGACATAATCGTTACATTAAATTAACTACCTATTCAAAAATACCATTTATAAAATTTTCCCTTTTTGATTTATTTACATTCRAAGTAGCCAAACGTTTATCAAAACAAGCTACTATTCTTCAACCCCACATACTTAATGGAGATTTTCTTATTTCTTATTTATCTGGAAGTTCTCAAAAATTCTATTAATCCCAAAGTCAAACAAACCTCTTGACTCTTCATAACTTTTTATACGAGTGATTTCCCTGAAAATGTACTAGAGAGACTATAAGAAATATAAAATTTCAATCTAACGAAAATCACATAACCATTTTAAAAGTTCACAGAGTTGTTGATGAAGTTTCTTTCACAAATGAAAACAATTATTTTGCATCTGTGCATTTATCGAAATCATGCAAAGTTGTGATTAATTATGACGCTAAAAACTGCTACATACATTTTTGGAATTTGTTCACCAGCTTAAATACATTGATCTAAAATCGTATTTTAGTTCCTGATAYTTTAAAATCCGTTATGGATATTGGAGTTATACTTATTTTAATATATTTAAAAAGGAGATCACCTTGTTACTCACACTAATACATGAATTCAGGGCTTATCGACCAACGTAATTTCTGGTAATATTCCAAGATGTCTTAAGTGAAATGTGTGTAGAGGCGTATAAATTACAAGTAAATAACACGATATAAAGGACACGAAAAAAATTGTAGAATGTGTCAGTCACTGGGTGGGTTAATATAAAAAAGTAATTCTCTGTCTCGTTAAATTTTTAAATTTTTTTTTATTTATTAACTCGAAAATCTTTAAATTTTAAATTTTAATTTGGAATAAAAATATATTTATAATTTTATTTTTATATAAGGCTTCAACTACCCCGGTCATTTTATTGTTTTTATATTGCAGGAGTTATGGTTGGCATGTTGATACAGCTGGTTAGGAACATGCGATATATGTGGCACGATTTGCCATTAAGAACCTGAATGGTCACCCATCGGGGAACAGCAATAGTTATACTCTTATAAAATAATAGTGTTTATACAGATTGTATATATTTTCTTTTAATAAAATAAAAAAAAAATAATAATAATGCGTTGACGATAAAATCGAATATAAAATATTCATAAAATAAATTAATTTTATGCAAAAAAAGCATACAAGAGGTACTCCACTTCTTGTATGCTTTTTTTGCTATTTTCTTCAATTTTTGTAAAAAATACATTATTAATCAAATATTTACAAAAAAAAAAAAAAAAAAACAGTTTGGCTTTAACGTTTAACACGAAACTGGTGCCAGTTTCCATTCATTTTGTCTTTGCATCCGCTGTCCTTATAAGATTTTTATTAGGAATTTAAATACATTTATAAYACCAAGGATAAAAACGGGCCCTTTACCACTATTTTTTGTGAATCTTTTTTGAATGATAATAATAAAGATATTCATAAAATTACGTCTTTGCTTAATACGAAAGTGRTTGATGAAAAACCTCACAGTAAAAGATATAGTATTTCACAATGCCATAATTGTCAATCTTTTGGCCACACTATTAGTTATTTTAATCATACCTCTCGATGTTTCAATTGTGGTGACATTTACCACACAGAATGTTGCACCAAGGATCGTAACAGTCTAGCCAAATCACATCTAGATATATGATATGAGCTGTATAATTAAGTGATAACTTAGTTCTGTGGAACTGAAGTGAGGATTCTCCCGTCAAGGATAAAAAACTGATTGTCATCGGGCTGCTTTTAAATACGCCAATTTTCAAAAATCTCAGTCCTACATTACGGATTGTAT